TCTAAAGCGCAGTGCGTATAAACCACATTTTTCTCTGGTGAACTTGTCTGCCTCCAAGAGTGAAGTTGGGCTCCGTACTCAGGTTGTGTTGGCACATAATTAAGCCTTACCCGCTTTAAACAAGTATGTGAGGAGAAATGAGGCTCTACTGACCAACCTAACCAGCCTTCCCTCCTGCTGCAAGAGCCCCCACCCGCATCCCGCCCCAGCCTTACCGTGCATGGCGTGCCGCTGGTTGGTCAGCAGCTGCGCCAGCGCCCAAAACGCATCCTCTTCGTTTAAGTACATCAGGAGGATGGCTGCGATCTGGCTCATCCCTTGGCAGTAGCTCACTTCCTGCAAGAGCCAAGAGGGGCACACGTGCTGCCACGCCATCAGACCCCACCATGATGCTACAGCTGCAGAAGCACATCAGGCTGCCTATGCTTCCCTCTCCTCTTTCAAGGTCTGTCCTTTTTCAAGGTCTTCATCGTTTATGCCCAAATTCACAGCTCCCATATGTCTACAGCATCTACCACATCACTGACTCACAGAGTGGTTTGGGTTGGAAGGGACCTTTGAAGATCATCTTGATCAACCCCCCTACCATACGCAGAGACATCTTTCACTAGATCAGGTTGCTCAAAGCACCATCCAACCTGACCTTGAACACTTCCAATGATGGGGCATCCACAGCTTCCCTGGGCAACCTGTTCCAGTATCTCACCACCCTCGTTGTCAAAAATGTCTTCCTTATGTCCAATCTAAACTTACCCTCTTTCAGTTTAAAACCGTTGCACCTTGTGCTGTCACTACGTGCCCTGGTAAAAAGTCTTTCTGCCTTTCATGTGAATCCCCTTTATACATTGAAAGACCACAATAAGGTCTCCCCAGAGTCTTCCCTTCCCCAGGCTGAACATCCCCAACTCTCAGCCTTTCTTCATGGGAGAGGTGTTCCAGCCCTCTGACCATTTTTGTGGCCATCCTCCAGACCTGCGCTAGCAGATGCTCCAGCTTGCAGGCAATGCTCCCCACCCATGCCTCTCTCCCCACCAGCCCTGCTCAAGCCTGGAGGGCGAGGGACAGAAACCCCAACGTAAGACGTGCCTACAGCCACTTCAAGGAATATGGGATGGGATGATAAACAGCATGTGGCTCCAATACTGTTTTGGATTCCCTCGGCCACATGAACACTGAAGTAATTAAAGAATAAATAAATCTGGTAAGAATTTATCTGGTATGAGCGAAGGCAGCGTCTTTGTTTCCTTGACTACTCCCCCGAGCACCTTCTGTGCCTTCTGGGGCAATTGTCCCCTCCTGGAGATGGAGGCAGTAGGTCCACATACTAATTTAGGCTTATTAGACCTGCTCACCTCCCCACCACCTGCCCGCCGAAGACTTGGCTAAACACATCTCGGTGCTTACCAAGGTTCAGAGAAAAGCTGAAGATGTTTGAACACCACAAGCTTGGGCAACGCCCCATAACCTAGCAGGACACATGTTTAAGACTGTCTGGAGTTATCGAGGCATAAGGCTTAGCCCTCTGCCCATAAAATAACCCTCTGGGCATAGATTACTGCTAACCAAAAGTCAGATGAAAGGATCTTTAATGTGTTTGAAGTAAAATAATACAGCACGTTTGGTGGAATTACACCTTCACAAAAACACAAGGGCACGTAGCTTGTGGCACGCGAAAAACAGAGTGTTACATGATGCTCTTGGATGTACTTCTGTGAGACAAGTTCTTAAAAACTCATAACCTTGAGTTAATTGATTGCCAAAGGCAAGGCACTCTGGAGGGAAGATAGCACCTCTGTGAAACTGTTAATTACTGAGTGCTAAAGCTCAGTGCTGATAAACCACATTTTTCTCTGGTGAACTTGTCTGCCTCCAAGAGTGAAGTTGGGCTCCGTACTCAGGTTGTGTTGGCACATAATTAAGCCTTACCCGCTTTAAACAAGTATGTGAGGAGAAATGAGGCTCTACTGACCAACCTAACCAGCCTTCCCTCCTGCTGCAAGAGCCCCCACCCGCATCCCGCCCCAGCCTTACCGTGCATGGCGTGCCGCTGGTTGGTCAGCAGCTGCGCCAGCGCCCAAAACGCATCCTCTTCGTTTAAGTACATCAGGAGGATGGCTGCGATCTGGCTCATCCCTTGGCAGTAGCTCACTTCCTGCAAGAGCCAAGAGGGGCACACGTGCTGCCACGCCATCAGACCCCACCATGATGCTACAGCTGCAGAAGCACATCAGGCTGCCTATGCTTCCCTCTCCTCTTTCAAGGTCTGTCCTTTTTCAAGGTCTTCATCGTTTATGCCCAAATTCACAGCTCCCATATGTCTACAGCATCTACCACATCACTGACTCACAGAGTGGTTTGGGTTGGAAGGGACCTTTGAAGATCATCTTGATCAACCCCCCTACCATACGCAGAGACATCTTTCACTAGATCAGGTTGCTCAAAGCACCATCCAACCTGACCTTGAACACTTCCAATGATGGGGCATCCACAGCTTCCCTGGGCAACCTGTTCCAGTATCTCACCACCCTCGTTGTCAAAAATGTCTTCCTTATGTCCAATCTAAACTTACCCTCTTTCAGTTTAAAACCGTTGCACCTTGTGCTGTCACTACGTGCCCTGGTAAAAAGTCTTTCTGCCTTTCATGTGAATCCCCTTTATACATTGAAAGACCACAATAAGGTCTCCCCAGAGTCTTCCCTTCCCCAGGCTGAACATCCCCAACTCTCAGCCTTTCTTCATGGGAGAGGTGTTCCAGCCCTCTGACCATTTTTGTGGCCATCCTCCAGACCTGCGCTAGCAGATGCTCCAGCTTGCAGGCAATGCTCCCCACCCATGCCTCTCTCCCCACCAGCCCTGCTCAAGCCTGGAGGGCGAGGGACAGAAACCCCAACGTAAGACGTGCCTACAGCCACTTCAAGGAATATGGGATGGGATGATAAACAGCATGTGGCTCCAATACTGTTTTGGATTCCCTCGGCCACATGAACACTGAAGTAATTAAAGAATAAATAAATCTGGTAAGAATTTATCTGGTATGAGCGAAGGCAGCGTCTTTGTTTCCTTGACTACTCCCCCGAGCACCTTCTGTGCCTTCTGGGGCAATTGTCCCCTCCTGGAGATGGAGGCAGTAGGTCCACATACTAATTTAGGCTTATTCTACCCATGACCTTCAGCTAAAAAGGACTGATTTGCTGTAATAAACCAGTGTTTTCAACAAGGATGCCATTCAGTGTATGACAAGAAGTCAGAAACC